GTGCGGGATTGCTCTGCGCCGAGGCCTCCCGGCCACGCTCTAGGCGGGGTCTCCCAGCCTCCACCGTCCCGGGATCCCTCCGGAGAGCTTGGGCCATCGGGCCAGCTGAGGTCTAGGACGCCCGCTGTTCTCACCAGGGCGCCCCCTCGTCAAACATCAGAAGTCGGAGACACCTAAGCAGGGCCTTGGCCTCAGGCCCTTTCCATCCCCACCTGTGTCCCTGCGCCCACACCTCCTCCGGGTCTCCTGTTGGTTAACCTGTGCTGCCCTGAAACCCTTGCCCCCCTGGCTTCCTCATCTGCCTTGTTTTCTCCAAAGTTCCCACGGCAGGAGGACGCCCCGGGTTCCCCCTGATCCTCACAGTGGGTGCCCTCCGCCAGCTCACAGCCCACCAGGCCGGGGTGGGGTCCTTCCTGTGCCTGGAACAGCTCCTGGCATGTCGGAGGCGCTGGGTAGTACTTGTTGAGTGCACCCACATGCCTGGTGGGGCCGGGGCGGCCGAGGGTTGGCACTGGCCTGCCTGGGCACGTCGCTGTGCGCGGCGCCGTGGCGAGACCTGTTCTCGTAGGGAGGGGGCACTGTAACCTCAGCCCTAGGCACCTCCCGTTCAGGCTTTCTGCCTACCCAGCAACTTCTAATTTGGGTGCACGGTGGGAGATGCTCTCAGCTGTCAGCCCTGCCTGTGGGGGTGGGGTGGGAGGGGCAGCTTGCTGCCTCTCACACAGTTACTAAGTGCAGCTGCAGGTGCCACAGGTGGGCCGTGGGCCGTTACTCTGGCTGCCACCCTGTTACCTGGGTGTTGGGGCCCAGAGCTCAGCAGGTCTGCCGGGTGGGGCTGGGCGTGGCTGACAGGCCTCCTTGGCAGGTGGGACAGGAGGCCACCGCAGCATCCCGAGCCGCGGCCCCAGGAGCGATGACCGAGTACAAGCTGGTGGTGGTGGGGGCCGGAGGTGTGGGGAAGAGCGCCCTGACCATCCAGCTCATCCAGAACCACTTCGTGGACGAGTACGACCCCACCATCGAGGTGAGCGGGCCGCTCCTCACCCCAGCACCACCCTCCAGGGGCCTGTCTTCTGCCTGCTCTGCAGAGCGGTCCCCTTGATGGAGGACCTGGGGAGCACAGGAGGGGCTGGTGATGCTGCCACACCCCCAGAGGAGGGGGTCCCTGAGCAGTGTCCTCCCACAGGACTCCTACCGGAAGCAAGTGGTCATTGACGGGGAGACGTGTCTGCTGGACATTCTGGACACGGCGGGCCAGGAGGAGTACAGTGCCATGCGGGACCAGTACATGCGCACCGGGGAGGGCTTCCTCTGTGTGTTCGCCATCAACAACACCAAGTCCTTCGAGGACATCCACCAGTACCGGTGAGCCGCCCACCCTCCGAAGCCTCCCCGTGTCAGGGCGCCTGGATGCAACCGCGCCTGCAGCCTGCCGCCGCTCACCCCTAGCTGGCGCCCCCCCCACAGCTAGCCAGGGCCCCGCCCCGCCCCCCCAGGGAGCCTTGCTCATTGCCCCTCTCCCTCCACACAGGGCAGCCGCTCTGGCCCTGGCTCTGGCTCCAGCTCCGGGACCCCCATGACCCAGCTGCCCCTCGCGCTGTAAGTCTCCCGGGACGGCAGGGCAGCGAGGGAGGCCAGGGCCGGTCGGGGCTGAAGCAGCTCTAGGGGAAGGTAGAGGTGAGGTCCCTGGAGAGAGCTGTCTTGAGCCAGGCCGGAGCGGTGACCCTGGAGCCCCAGCCCCTCTGCCCCCAGGGTGCCCGGATCCCTTTAGCGGGCGGGCTGTGGGGACAAGGGCAGTAGCGCAGAGGTGGGCACAGGGTGGTCAGGCTCGGAGCCAGGCCTGGGGCCACCCTGCCCCGGGGGGAGCTGCTGAGGAGCCGGTGTCTGGGGGGGGGCCCTGGGCAGTGAAAGGAGCAGGTGGAGAGGGGCTGGGATTCGCTGGAGCTGGTGGCAGGGGTCCCTCCAGGTCTCCTCCCCTGCTGGGCCCTCAGGCTGAGGCCCCGCGGCCCCCTCTGAGCGGCTCCTTCTCCCCAGGGCGTGGAGGACGCCTTCTACACGCTGGTGCGTGAGATCCGGCAGCACAAGGTGCGCAAGCTGAGCCCGCCGGACGAGGGCGGCCCTGGCTGCATGAGCTGCAAGTGCCTGCTCTCCTGACGCCCCTGCGGGTCCTGTGTGCCCGCCCCGCACAGGAGCCCCGGAGGTGCCGGATGCCGGGAGGAGGGGAAGGAAGGAAGGAAGTGCCGCCAAAGCCCGGCCAGCCCAGGGCTGGGGGACAGAGTGACCGGGGACCTCCCAGGATGCTTTGCACAGACTGGTGAACTGAGGCCTCCGGCCCCAGCCGCGCCTCTATTTGCAGCCCGTCCCGGCCCACTGGGCGCAGGTTCTGTTGCAGTAAATTATTTGATGGTCTTGACCCTGGCGTCCGGCCAGCTCTGTGTGTGGTCTCTCATGGGGTCGGGGGTGGGGGGACACGGGACTCAGCTCCCTCCAGCCGGCGGCCCCTCAGGTGTCGGCGCCGCAAGCACAGGTGGGTCCCGCGGGCCAGCATTTGAACCAAAAGCAGTTCGCTGACCTTTAACCGGCAGGGGACTGAGCGAGGGCGTGCCCGTGCCCCTGGGCGGGGCCTTGTCCGGACGCTGACGGGGGGCAGGGGGGTGTCCGGCACCCCGGAGCCTCCGGCTGCAGCGGGGCCTGAGGTTCCTGAGCTTTGGGGCCTGAAGGCGGTCGCCCTGCCCCGTCCACGCCGGGGGGCCGCTCGGCCTGACGTCAGCCCTGCCGCCCTCCCTGTTGAGGGCCTGGCCTGCCTGTCCCTTACGCACCCCCTCCCCCAGCCCCGGGGTGGCCTGTTGCTCCCAGAGCTGCCTCTGGTCACCGACCCCCATGGCTCTGTGGGGTGCAGGTGGCCACCTACCGCTCTGAGGGCCTGTCCTGCCACCCATTCTCCTTCAGACTGGGCCCGGCTCGGGTACCCTGCCCTCCAGGCCCCGGGCATCATGGGGAACTCTTCAGGTTCCGCTGGAAGCGAGCAGGCTGGGTGAGCCCCTTCCTGGGCCCTGTGGCTGGCGCAGGGTGTGCCCTATGGTGTCCTCATGGCTGCCCTGGGCTGACACTGCTGACCCCCAGGCTCTGCAGGGTCCACCCTGATGCCCAGCCCCAGCCTGGTCTTCCAAATCCTGGCAAGAGAGGAGGGGCGCAGGACCGGGCTCTTCCTGCTACTTATTACCCGGAGAGGGTGGATCAGGAGGGCCCTGTGCGGAGGCCCCCTGGGGGAGGGAAGGGCCACTGCAGCCTCCGGAGCTCGGCCATCGAGGCCTGAAGGTGCCCGGGCCAGCATCGTGCTCCGGGGTCCAGGCTGGGACGGCGGGTCCAGCAGGAGCTCCCACAGGCCTTCCAGGGGCAGCGTCAGGAGGCATTTTAGGTGTGGGCACGTGCGCCAGGCTGGGAGGGTCCCCACCTGTCCCCCAAGGTGCCTTGTGGGGGGCCGGCGCTGGCTAGCAAAGGGCCTGCCTCATTCCTGTGGCCTCAATGGAGGGGGCCCTGCCCAGCTCAGGCCGCCACCTCTGCTCCGTGGCCTGGGCACTCGGCTCACACACACGGTCACTTCTGTACACCTTGAGGGCTGTACCATGGCCGGGAGCCCATGCTGGCTCTCCAGGGTGAGGGAGGGCAGCCTGAGCTGGGCCCCCTCTGCCTCTGGTCCAGGTAGTCCCCCAGGGGCACTCGGAACCCCTCTGGCTGACGTGCAGGTGGACAAGGCGGCTCCCCCCAAGGCCACTGGGGTCTGAGGCCAGACTGATAACCGGGGGCAGCGGTGCCAGCCGTGCAGTGGGAATGACCCCGAGAGGAGCCCGGCACCCGCTGCCAAGTGGGCCAGGGGCTGCCCCACCCCTGGGAGCCGGGAGGGAGACATCCCCAGGGGCTCCAGGTGCCTTTCTCCTTGAGGACGGCTCTCCAGGGTGGGCCCTGACCCTAACCTTAACCCGCACCTCAGCCACAGGCGCCCGAGGGCAGGCCCTGGTTGGTGAGGGTGGAGTGGGGCTGGCTGAGCTGGGCCCAGGGACAGAGCATCCTGCGGCCAGGTCTTGCTGGGCAGCCCCACCTCGTCCATGGAGCCGGGAGGTACCACCTATTGGGGAGCAGAGGGTGTCCGGTAGGGGGTGGAAGCCTCCAATACGAGCCTGGGTCAGGCCGTGGGGGAGGGCGCGCTGTGCTCAGCAGTGCTGCTTCCCCTTTGGGAGAGCTTTCCCACGATGAGCTCACGATGGGCCTGGGGTCCCTGGAATGAAGGAGTCTGAGAAGCCCCCAGGCCCCCCACAAATCAGAGCCTGCTCCAGGTCAGGCACTGGCAGGTGCCCGCTGAACCAAGGCCGCCGTGTGCCGACAACCCCAGAGAGGAGGCTTGCTCCTTCCAGAGAGAGGCCCCCCACTGAGGCCCAGCCTGGGGGCACCCTGTGCTGAGGGGCAAGCAGACATCCCAGCCCTGGCTACCGCCTTCCCCACGATGGCCACTGTGGGCGTGGGGGCCCGGGACACCTAGTTCCTGTGCATTAACCTGGAGCAAGAGACAGAGGAGCCAGCAGCCCTGAGAGGCCCGGGAGCTGGCGCCCGGAGCACAGCCTGACTCCCGCTTCCGCGTCCTCGTATTTGTCCTCAGCCACCGGCACGGGCACCTCCCTGCTCCCTGTCAGTCTTTCTCCGGAGAGAGCTGGTGTCCAACGCACCAGCTGCAGATGACTGCGGTCTATGCGGTATGTTTGTCGAAGAAGTGATTCACTTCCTCGCTCTTTTTAAAAAAATATATATTTTATTGATTCTCTACAGAGAGGAAGGGAGAGGGATAGAGAGTTAGAAACATCGATGACAGAGAAACATCGATCAGCTGCCTCCTGCACACCCCCTACTGGGGATGTGCCCGCAACCAAGGCACATGCCCTTGACCAGAATCGACCCCGGGACCCTTCAGTCCGCAGGCCGACGCTCTATCCACTGAGCCACACCGGTCAGGGCTGTAGCTTTCCTTTTTAAAGAAAATATGTTTTTATTGACTTTTCTTTTTTTTAGGGAGAGGGATAGAGATAGAAACGTCAATAAAGAGAAATGTCACATGATCTCACTCATTTGTGGAATATAATGAACAACACAAACTGATGAACAAAAATAGAACCAGAGACATAGGAGCATCGAGCAGACTGTACAACCCATGAGGGAAGGTGGGGGGTGAGGGGGAAAAGATCAACCAAAGGACTTGTGTGCATGCATCTGAGCAGAACCAATGGACACAGACCGTAGGGGGTGAGGGCATGTGCTGGGGGGTGGGAGCGGCCGGGGGAGGTCAATGGGGGAAAGGAGACTCATGTAATACTTTAAACAATAAAGAATTTTAAAAAGAAAAAGAAGCCTCCTGCACGCCCCTCCTGGAGAGATGTGGCCCGCTCCCCTGCATGGGCCCCAGCAGAACTGAACAGGGACCTCTGGTTTGCAGGCTGATGCTCAACCACTGAGCCGCTCCAGCCAGGCTCTCTGCATCTTTCCTTTTCATCACCCCTATTTTTTTAAAAAATTGGTTTTAGAGAGAGGAAGTGGGGAGAGCTAGCTGGATAGAGAGAGAGCGATTTGTTGCTGCGATCACTGGTGTCATCGCCGAGCGCAGGTCTTTGGATCAAGTCCTGTTCAGCTTTGTCGCGCGGGCACATCTTCTCTCACTAGAACCACCTCTTCCTCAGCTCCCAGGGCCGTCCCGCACCCACACAGAAGCTGGGGTCCCGGATGGAGTCACACTGTTTCTCAGCCCATCCACTCCGAGCTTCCCAAGGCCTGGAGTGCAAACCACGTACCGGTTGCACTTCGTGGTCTTGAGCGAGGGAGGGGGTCTAAGGGCCGGGCCCAGGTTTAGGACGGACACCGCACACCGTCAGACTGCTGCCGAGACAGGGGGGACTGTGGAGGCCAGGCCCCGGAAGAGGGCTCAGCGAGGGGTCAGTGGAGGACCCCGAGCCAGGAGCGGGCAGCAGGGCTGTGTGAGGAGAGGCTGACCCCCTCCAGCGCTGGGTCTGAGGAGCGACAGCGCCAGAGCAGGAGGAAGCGAGCTGGGCTTCGAGCGCTCCTGGGCGCGGGAGGAGGCGGTCGGACCTCAGCCATACGCCTGCCTGGCCCTCTGCTGGGGGGGGGGGGGGCACTGACCCCTGCACCACCCTGTCGCCCAATTCCCAGTGGCTTTCTCCACAGACGGGCAGCACGCAGGCCAATGCCACCAGCCCACCAGGAGGCGGCCGTGATGAAAAGACCCCGGAGAGATGCAGACAATGGAGTGATCTTAAAATACTGGAAACTCTAAGGAAGGGCTGTAAGATGACACTGTACTCAAGGGGCCGGAAGACAGATTAACAGTCTGGGCCGGGGAGACCTGGGAACAAAAAATAGAAATTGTAAAAGAAAAATGGAAGAAGTGGCCTCGAGGGCCCCTGAGGGTCGGCCGTGGGCTGCGCAGGGTGAGAGGCCGTGAGGCAGGTGGCAGTGACGGCGTCTAGGACGCGGCATCGACGGAGACGAAAGCTGGTGAGGAGCGTGAGACGTGGTCACGGCGAACGTGGACGGTGTTGTTACCGGAGTCAGAGGATGAGCGGAACAAGGACGAGCATCCAGACACCTCGGGAGAGAAGAGCAAAGCTGGCGGGTGTGGCTCGGTTGTTGGGCGGCATCCCGTGTACGGCAAGGTTGCCGGTTCGGTTCCCGGCAGGGCACAGGCCGGGGTGAGGGCTTGCTCCCCGGCCGGGGGCGTGCAGGAGGCAGCCAATCGATGTTGCGCTCTCACATCAATGTTTCTCTCCTCTCCCTCCCTCTCTCTAAAAATCAATAAACTATTCTTAAAAGAAAAGAGCTAAGAATTCCGCCAAACTGATAAAAGATAGCAAGCTACATGTTCTAGAAGCTTGAAGGCTTCTTCATGGGCATCAAGAAGGATAAGTACAAGGAAAGACACATCCAGGCAACATCCAGGGTTACAACTGTAACCCTCATCAGCGGAGGACACATCCCAACCCGGAGGATGGCTGAGTCACGGATGGACCGGGTCCGACACAGACCGCGCTTTTCCTGCACATGCGCACCTGGGACAAAGATCAATTTATCTCTTAGACACAGTGAGCCCGGCTGGCATGGCCGGTGGCTGAGCGCCGACCTAGGAACCAGGTCACAATTCGATTCCCGGTCAGGGCACAGGCCCGGGTTGTGGGCTCGATCCCCAGGGTGGGGAGTGCAGGAGGCACCGCAATGTTCTCTCATCATTGATTTTCCATCTCTCTCGCCCTCTCCCTTCCTCTCTGAAACCAATAATATATTTTAAAAAATAAATTAGACACATTAAGATGAATCATAATAACTAGTAATAAACCAGCTGTAACAGAAGTTATACACACGGTCTCTCTCCAAGTATCTTGTACCCACGCCTTTTGCCTTTTCGCTCACAGGAAGCCCTTGGCGGCTTCCGGCTGGCACATCTGAATTTCCGGCATTGCTCCTCTTGCACTTTGGACGCCGTGAGGTCAAACACGGTCACCTGAATGCAGCCCAGTCTGTGCAGCGACCTGGGACCTGCGATGGCTACTCAGTGGCGAGTGGGCGGGGGCAGGTACAGACGCCCGAGGATGACTCATCCCACATCCCAGATGCAGAAGGCAAGAGATTCCCGCACACTTAGCCCTGCAGGCAGGAAACTTCCGCATTGTTTTTTCTGGAATGATCCATTTAACGGCTTGGTCTGTGACTGAGGGCAGCATGGGAAGTAACCTGTGGGCAAGCGGGGACCGCTGAGAACATGGAACAGTGAATCCTGAGTGTGTGAGTGTGTCTCTGTGTGTGTGTGTGTGAGTGAGAGCGTGTGAGTGTGTGTGTCTGTGTGTCTGTGTGTGTGTGTCTAAGAAATCAAACATTTTCTCAAAGGGTAAAGTAATGTTTCATGGATTAATAGTCTCACTATGTGTGTGTGTGTGTGTGTCTGTGTGTGTGTGTGTGTGTGTGTGTATGAGTGTGTGTCTGTGTGTGTGTGAGTATGTGTCTCTGTGTGTGTGTGTGTCTGTGTGTCTCTGTGAGACTGTGTGTGTGTCTCTGTGAGTGTGCGTGTGTGTGTGTGTGTGTGTGTGAATCCTCAGCCGAGGTATTTTCCCATTGAGGTTTTTGGTAGAGAGAGTGTGGAAGTGGGGGGTGGGGAGAGACAGAGAGAGAGACATTGATGTATGAGAGACACATTGATTGGTTGCCTCCCGCACATGCCCTGATGGGGGTTGGGGATCAAGCCTGCAGCTGAGGTACATGCCCTGGACCAGTATCGAACCAGTGACCCTTTGGTCCACGGGCCGACGCTCCATCCACTCAGCCAAGCCGAGAGCTTATTAAACTCTTATAGTATTATTTGTTAATTATTGTATCATTTTAAACTTACTTATTTATGGACTTCAGAGAGAGAGGAAGGGGGAGAGACATCCTTGTGTTGCTCCACTTATTCATTCATTCATTGGTTGATTCTTGCATGTGCCCCCCCAGGGGGCGAACCCACAATCTTGGCCTATTGGACTATGTTCTAACCAACTGAACTACCTGGCCAGAGTTATTGTATCATTTTTTAAAAATATATTTTTATTGATTTCAGAGAGGAAGGGGGAGGGAGAGAGAGAGAAGCATCAATGATGAGGGAGAATCATGGACCGGCTGCCTCCTACACACCCCACACTGGGGATTGAGCCTGCAGCCTGGGCATGTGTCCTGACTGAGAATCTAACCTCCTGGTTCATAGATTGATGCTCGACCACTGAACCACGCAGTCTGGGCTACTGTATTATTTTCCATAAGAACAGCTGTAGAACTGGCCAGTGTGGCTCGGTGGACAGAGTATCAGCCTGCAGACTGAAGGGTCCCAGGTTCGATTCCGGTCAAGGGCACATGCCCAGGTTGCGGGCTAGATCCCAGGAGGAGGCCAATCAATGTTTCTCTTCCTTGACATTTCTATCTCCCTCTCCCTTCCTCTCTGAAAGCAATCATAATATATTTAAAAAAATGTTCTGAGATAAGAGGATGATCGATGAGAGAGAAACACTGATCAGCTGCCTCCTGCACATCTCCCACTGGGGATGTGACTGCAACCAAGGCACATGCCCTTGACCGGAATCGAACCTGGGACCCTTCAGTCCGCAGGCCGACTCTCTATCCACTGAGCCACACCGGTTAGGGCAGAAGGCCTACTCTTGCATGAATTTCGTGCATCTAGTAAACATGTATTTTTAAAAAATGTTTATTTTTTAAAAAGGACAACTGTAAACCTACGTTCGCCCCACCCTGAAAAGGAAGCCTTCCCAGCACCCAGGAAGACATGCCATGGAAGGAATAACAGACTGACCGGCGCACGGCGCCTGAGGAGATGGCCTGCCCCCCGGGGGCGCTGGCAGCAGTCCTGCAAGCCTGCAAATCTACACTCAGTGGAAACGTCCTTCAAACAGACGACACGGGGATTCTCGGATACACAGGCTGGCGGGACCCTCCCAGCGAGCTTCCTCCACATGCGACCCCCCAGGGTTGCTGTCCGACCTGCTCAGTGTCCCCCGGAACCCGCAGCGCGGACCACACAGCGGGCGCCCAGGACTGACTCGGAGTCCTCCGCCGAGTGCATCGGGTGAGAGTCGCCAGCATTACTGACTGTCGGACGCATGACGCGCACAGTAACGCTGA